GGAGGCACCAAGTGTGTGTCCCCACCCTGCCTCAGTTTCCCCCTGTGCTATTCCAGCCCGGCCCCACCTTTCTCCTTCTGGCTCCTGCTGTCTCCCAGGCAGGCCTTGGAGCTGCCCAGGGCCACCAGCCACTTCTGCCGCTCGGCGGCGCCCCCCGCCTTCAGGTAGAAGTACTGCTCGCCGGGGATGGTCAGCTCCATGCGCGTGGCGTCCGTGGGGTGCACTGCAGGGCACGAGGCAGCACCGGGGGTCAGGGCTCCCATCCCAGTGCCGACGGGCGGCTCAAGCAGGGGACGGGACAGGACGCCTGGGGCCCCGCGCGGCCTCCGGACCCAGCTCAGCGCTTCCGGACTCCGGGGCAGCGGCCTGCTCCGGGTGCGGCTGAGTCTGGGGGGGAACGTGGCAGCCCGAGGAGACCCCGTGCCATGACGGTCCCCTCCTGCAGCAGTGGGAATGGCTGGAGCGGGGGCGGGGGGGGGTCCCCGGGCTTGCACCCACCTTTGATCTCGCAGACGGCCATCTTGATGCTGCCCTTGCTGCCTTTGCCCACGTCGTCCTGCGAGTCGTAGTAGGACAGGATGCCGTTGTCCAGCACGAAGTAGCGCGGCTGCCAGCCTGGGGGAGGAAGGCGGCAGAGGAGGGTCGTGCCCTGGTGCAGGGAGCCCAGGCGCCTCCTCCTCGCTACCTGGGGGACCCCGGCCCCGAGGTCACAACCCGCTGGGGAAGGAGCACCAGAACCCCGCCTGGTTTCTGGGTGGGGACAGGGCTCAAAGGTCAGGGGTCAGCTGTCCTGGTGCCGCTGGGGGTAGTGGGGTAGAGGTCAAAGGTCAGGGGAGAGGAGGGGCGAGTAGGACAACTGCAGGGGGGGTAGTAGGACTGAAAAGGTCAGAGGTCAGGACTGGTTGGGGGCGTTGTGTTCTGATCGGGGACAAAGGTCAGCAGAGTACTATGGCCTCGCTCCCTTCCAGGGACCGGGGTCAAGGGTCAAAGGTCAGGGCCGCCTGGGGGATGTTGCAGAGGGCGGGGCAGAGGTCAAAGGTCGGGGGCAGGCGCGGGGGCTGCCGGGACGGCGGCGGTACCGGACAGGTAGTTGGTCCATTTCAAGAGCGCTCCCTCCATCGCAGGCGCAGGACGCGGCCCAGGCGCCGCCGCGCGCCCTGCCAATCCCCGCGCGGGGAGGGGGCGGGGCCC